AGGCACTATTCAAGCAAGCATGATTAGGAAAATTGATAAGCTGATTCTAAATTGTATATGGAAAAATGCAGAATAACTAAATTTTGAAAGACCAAAAAAAACCCCATGGATTTACACTAGCTTATTAGAAGAAGTATAAATTCAAGAATCATAAAGCTATACTAACAAGCCAGTATATACTGGCATAGGATATAGATCAATGAAATGGAAGAGAACAGAAACACACCCATAAATATATGGTCAATTGATTTTAAATAAATGTACCAAGGTAACTGAATAGGGAAAACATTATCTTTTCAAAAAATAATGTTAGAAGAACTGGATATCCATATGCATAAAAGTGAACCTTGCCCTTTAACTCACACCATACATTAAAATTAAATCAAAATACACATACAAGTAAAAGCTAAAGTTAGAAAGGTTCTAGAATAAAACACTGGAGAAATTTTTACACCCTTGGTATAGACAAATGTTTCCTAAATAGAACACAAAAACCACAAACTATAAAAGAAAAAAATGAAATACAAATGTTTATCAAAATATAAAACTCCTGCTCTTTAGAAACACCATTAAGAAAAATTACATATAAGGAAATATTTGCCATACATATATGTGATGAGGCTTAAAGGAATATATAAAAAACTAATAACTTATTAATAAGACACAAAATCCTTCCACAAAATGGGCAGAAATTTAAATGTACAACAAAACGCACCCCCCAAAAAAACAAGAAAATAGATGTAGAAATGGTCTTCAGTGCTATGGACTGAACTGTGCCCCCCCCCCCCAAATTCATATGTTGAAGCCATAACCCTCAGCATGTATATTTGGAGATAGGACTTTAAAGAGGTAATTAATATCATAAGTGTAGGGCCCTAATAGGTCTGCTGTCCTTACAAGAGGAGGAAGACACATCAAGGATACATATGCCAGAGAAAAAGCCACGTAAGAATATGGAGAGGTGTCCATCTGCCAGCCAAGAAGAGAAGCCTCAGAAGAAACCAGACCTTGCTGACATCTTCATTTTGGACTTGCAGCCTCCAGAACTAAGAAAATAAATTTCTGTTGTTTAAGCCACCCAGTCTGTGGTATTTCACTATGGCAGCCCTAGTATACTAATATAATAAGCTTATGAAAAGATGCTATAAGTATCATCAGATCTCAGGGAAATGAATACTAAAATAACAATGACCTATCACTACTCACCCAGTAGAATGACTTAAAATGAAACAGACTGACAATGTCAAGTTTGGCAAGGATGTGGTACAATTGGAACTTTCATACAATAGTGGTAATGTAAAATGGTACAAATATTTTTTAAAAGTTTGGCAATTTCTTATAAGGTTAAACACATACCTACCATACAATCCAGCAATTCAGTTCCTAGGCATTTACCCAAGAGAAATGAAAATCAATCTTCCAAAAAAAACTTCTACATAGTGGTCACAGAATTTTATTCATAACACCTCAAACTGGAAACAACCCAATTGCCCATCAACTAGTAAATGGGTAAACAATTTGTGGTATTCCACAGAATAGAACACTACTCAGCAATAAAAAGGAACAATCTTATGACATGAAATATCAGAAACTTCTAAAAACAAAAGAAGCCCGACAAAAAAGAATATACAATCTATAATTACATTTACATGAAATTCTAGAAATGACAAATCTAATCTACAGGGACAGAGAGCAGATGAGTGCCTGAGAGCTGGGACAAGTTTGAGGAGCGGTTTGAATGCAAAGAGGCACCAGGGAATGTGACTGCGGTGGTAAACAGGTACATGTTCGCCAAACCTCATCAAACATAAAATAGGTGTATTTTATTGTGTGTAATCATGTCTCAGTGTTGCTGATTTTAAAACATTAGATAGACTCTCTGTAGGATTAAACTAAAGAGAGAATGGAATGCCTAATTAGCAAAAAGAGATTAGAGCAGGCACCCAGAGAGAAGTACTGAGAGGAGCCAGCCAGTAAGAGGCTCCAGATTTTCTGGCGCTCCAGTTCTATACAACACAGAGCACAACAATAAATCTTTATTTTTGTCAGATGTTGCCTTGAGTGAACCTTTGTTCACTAAAGGAACTAAAGGAACTAAAGGAAACTAACAAAACCACTGACTAGTTACAGTTTTTGAATTTCTGTTCTGGTTCCTTCTAAAGTACCCAGCACATAATAAAAGTGTTGACTGCACTGACAGCAACATTATCAATCACATGCTTTGTTGTTCAGACTTATTTTTTACATTAAAAAATCAGTTCCCTGTTTTGAGAATTAAGAATAATTTTATTTGTAAATAATTTTTTAAAACATTGAAGGTAAAGACCCTTTTACAAAGTGTGTGATAACACACTGTAAAAAAATAAATCTAAAAAATGAATTAGTGTAGCAACACAAATGTTAAAGAGTACCAGAGGAGGTAAGTCATTTATTTGAAAGGGATTTAAGTATTTATAGTCAAATTATAAGAAACTAGTTTTGCTAATGGATACATAAATTCTTTTTGTCTGATTGATAGAACACAGTGAAAATGATTTAGAGAAAATAATGCCACAGATACAATTATGTGAATGAAGCTGGAGGCAGTGGAGGACCACACACCATGAAATGTAAACAGAGGAGAAAAAAGCTATAGATGCCAGACAGGAAGAGAAGAACCAGGAGAGCAGTCTTTACAAACAGAGGTAAATGTAACAAACACTGAAATAAGAAATCTGATAGGTCTTAAAGAAAAAAAAATTAGAGTAATCAATTATTCCTTAACATGAACAAGAGCTTTGCAGAATTTAGTATCTCCAGGTTCATTTTTTAACTATTCTCAACCTTATGGAATCTTGCTTTCAATAGTTAGTGATTTATGTCACGGCAAGCCATTTTCCCTCTTAAAGGAAGAAATTTTTTCTCAAATAATTGGATTAGATCTACTGCCACTAATTAAAATAGATGAATTTATCGTCTCTCAGCAGTATCTTACATTCTTAGACAAACAACAACTGTTTGGCTGCCATGCTAAAACAAGCTTAATGGAGTTAGAAGATAAGAGAAGCTTTTAGAAGGGAAAGCATACTATTCCACACATGTAAAACTACTTTATCATTGTAACTTCAAAAACATATCAACCAAAGCTTGGTAATGGTCACAGAGACTTATTTTGATTTTGGTATTTATTCACAAAGAACTATTTCTTGTATTATGGGATGATACAAACTTAATAATAATAATTTACTTCTGAAGTAAAGAATAAATACATTTATGTGAGTAATACACACAGGACTAAGCCAATTTCCTTCTTACAGCACCTGGATAAAGAAAGCTGTCATCTTCAACTTTACTGAAATTATTTACTAGGTACTTTTATGAATACCACTGGGCATTAGATTCAACAATAGTTAAGGCAAAGAATTGGAATTAAAAATTTTATACTCTGTCGTACACGCTAAACATTGACTGAATTCATCAAATTGGATTATAATAATAAAAGCAGTACCATTCTAAATATGTAAAAATCATAATAAAATACAAACTGATAACACAATAAGTATTTTTTAAATTTCTATTTTGTAATCCAATATAAGAATATATCAAAATTGAAATGAAGATACAAATGCTTATTATATCACAAAACATTATGCTAGATCTTGTAATGGATAAAAACATAATATAAAAATAATTCCTATCCTTAAGAGTATTAAAATTACAAAGGAAGTGAAGACATATGCATAATACAAAATAGCAACAAAATAAATATATAATACAAGGCAGTATATGACAAAAGGATATAAATTGAACGAGGATCCAGAGGAGTTTCTATCATGTGATGAGGAATGCTCCATGGAGCCAATGCTTTGAGTGGAGTAATAAAGGGAAAGGTTGCGGGGAGGATATGACAAGCTTCTATGCTGATGTAATACCATATAAAAAAATGAGGAAGTGAGAAACAGAACAGACGGAAGTGTTCTCAAAATTTCTCCTGAATACATAGCCCAGGGTGTGGGGAGCCATCCAAAGCTCAAGACTTCTTTGAAATCTACTGTGTATCTTAAAAATGACATAAAATTTATGTTTTACTCAATTAAATATCTGTCTTGCTTTAACATAAAACTAATATTTTTCCTCTCAAAACTTTTCAGTAAACCTAATACTCTGAGATGGGCCAGGACTATTCTGCATGTGCTCCCAAATGAGTGTCTTTAAGAATGAACAGCACAGAATGAGGGGAACCACAGCTGAGAGAAGACACAGCTCAGAGAGCAGAGTAGACGGTCTTTAACCAGGCTTGAATTGTTACATTATTCAAAGGTCAGTGGGGAATCATGAAAAATGTATTTGGGATTGGGGAATGACATCTGACTTTTCAGCAAGATTAGTTCACAAGGACACAGAGGATGGATTAATTCATTCAACAAATATTTCTGGGCATCCATTGTGTGTCAAGTACTAATCTAGCTGCTGGAAAACTGAACAAGAGAGGCAAAAATCTCTGCCCTCATGGAACTTACATTCCAGCATGGGGAAATAAATAAGCTGAAAGAAGTAATAATACCAGACAGGGAGAGATCACAAACAGGAGAGTGATGATTACAAATGACAGAAGAAATCAGATTAGACAGAGGTGACTGAAATGACAGTAGTACTAATAACAGAATTCAAAAAAGAAGAGACAAAAATGGGTTGTTTTAGATTTTCAGGCTCAGAAATGCCTGCCAGCCTAACAGATGTAAATCCAAGACTCCAGGAGGTCAGGTCAAAGATACAGACTTCATGGCTATGGACAGCCAGATACAAGTGGAAGCAGCCACATAAGGGAACAGGAGAAGAGCAGAGAGCAAAGGCCAGAAGACAGAGACTTGATAAATATCCATGAGGGTAGAAAAAGCAAAAACAAGGTTAGAGAAGAAAGAATCTAAGAGAAAACATGAAAAACCTAAGTACAAAGGAGTAATTAGAAGACTTTGCAAAAGACATGTCCACGTGTGTGTGTGCGTTTTTTTCCTCCTTACCTGCTCATTCTTTTTCTGCACCCATTCCTTGTGTTTTTCTTCAGCCATTACTTTCCTTTTTTCACGTTCTTCCACTTCTTTTCTTTTTTCTAGCTGTTGATTCAATTCCTATGGATTTTATCCAAACAAAAAGCAACATTTAATAATAGCACTCAAATAACAGATTTTTTAAAAGCTGAGGTTAACCAAATTTAACAAGAATATAGTTTCCTTTATATAAAATATACCATTAGTGACAATAACTTAAGTAACTAGTCTACGAAGCAAAGGCGGCACTGGTAAAAAATATAAATCATTTTGTAGAAATGCAAATAATCGCTTGGCAGCAAAACACTAGTTTCTTAGACTAAACTTCAGCTAAATTACCCTCATTGAAATCAACTTTCCCACACATAAATTTTGGCACCACTGTATGCTACTGGCAGAAGCTCAAGAGAATTGCATCTTTTTTTAAAGTCATAAAATGCTTCTAGATTCTTGATGAAGATAAAGGATAGGAATTAAATAATCCCTAAATTAAAAATTTAATTTAGAGCTATAACAAAGAAGAAATGTAAAGAAGTCATTCAATTTTCTTTAGGGGAAAAAAAGAATCCAGAGTTTTCTTCACTGATTTTTTAGCTGCTAGAGTGTAAAACAAAACCACATTCATATCCCACATTATTTAACAGCCTTGCTGTCACTCGATTCTACACGTTTGGGCATTTCCTCAGGAGAAAGAATGTGGAAGGTAAGGCCAAATAAAACTACAAGCTGAATGCCACCACTCTGTCACTCATCAGTTAAATTACTGCATTAGTTGAGAACGCTGTTCAAACTAGACTCCTTGGCCATAATTACTAGTTATTTCTCCTCTCTCCTTAGATACTAATAATTAGATGTTTTTATATATCTTCCATTGCACCTCACTCCTTTTCCCCATTGCTCCCTTTCCCAAAAACCTATGTACCTAAGCATGGGTGCTAGTAGGAAGGACAATTTTTCAGCTCTCACACAATTCTAGTATGTTAAATGAAGTGAAGATAAAACTTGACATCAAGAATGTATCTTTTGCACTTTAGAGCAACTGATCACAGGTTACCTGTTTTTCATGACCTCTTATCCTAAAATTCTATCGTACAGAAAATAGCTGTCTGCACTCATTCAGAAATTCTTCCAACTTTTAAACACTATTACCACCCCCTCCCAAAATAAAATGTCCATCTTGGCTTTAAAAGGATTCTTCATTACCTCTGAAGATGCTATTGTTTGATTATTCACTCAATAATTGTTTTATGGAGCACCTACTATAAAGATAGTAAGAAATCAGATCAGGGGTGAAATTCCAGAAGATTCTAATTTAATCTGGTCCCATAAACACAAAAGCTTAAGTGCTATATTGCAAAGTATTATGTATAATAGAAGTTCAGAAAAGAGAAAGGAAGGGAAGGGGAGGATGAGAGGAGAAACACTGTGAACCAGGGCAGTCAGAAAGGAGCATGACAAGGGGAACAGTGAAGAGATGGCTTCACTCGAAGGGAGAGATGGGGAACGGGGAGGGATGTTGGAAAGCTAGAAAGTAGTACTAGCTAAATGGAAAAGTCTTTTGAGACAGGCAGAGTAAAGTGAATACTGTGAAGCAGGAATACATGGCAAAAGGGATGGTTTAGAACTCTTAATGACAAAGGTTGGAGACTACCTTTGAAGGGATCAGAACTGTTCTGTGGAAGACTGAGTAGGAGGCTGCCACAGTATATGAGTTTTAAGGGGAAGAAGTTACACCAAAAAAGAAATAGTGCATTTTTAGCATTTTTATTTCTTGTGTCAGGAAACAAGAACAGAGAAAACTGTGTGTGTGTGTGTGGCACCAACTAGATACAGAGCTAACAAACATATCTAAAATATTCCAAGAGTCCTTAATTTTATTTTCAAGAAAGGTAATTATTTAAATATACAACTAAAGATATGATGGACTATATTTAGGTACCTTTTAAAATTCACCATATACTTAAACTAAAAAAATCAGAAAAAAATTCAGACTTTGTGTTCCTTTTTTATAGTTCATAAACTTTAGTCAATATTGATAAAAAGTTAAAGAGGAAGGGAATATCAAAAGTACCTAGAAAATGCTACCACTGACCCAAACAGTGCTCTAATTTCAGGGTGTCTGTTCCAGTAATTTGCTATTTCAGAATATATATCAGATTCTGAGACACGACCCTCCTTTCCAAGGCTGGCCCCTCTCAGAATTTCCCACCCTGACTGCTCCATCTGTTCCCCACTAAGGCAAGCGTTTTCCGGACACAGCTGCAGTCTTCACTCATAAGGCCCCTATGGTGTCTTCTGGTACACCACGGAATTTCAACAGGATTATAGCTATCCTCCCACAGAGTAAACACTTGATTATGGAAAACCAAAATGCAAAGGGGATCTTAAACATGCATTTTTATTTCAATAGCTTTTGCCAACTTTAAAAGAACTTTTTACCACTGAATGTAACAATCAAAAAAAGTGATAATTTTGAGGATACCAACTCTGTATTCTGCTCTATTCCTTCATTAAGGGCCAAAGGCAAGATGGTAGGGAAAAAAAGCACCTTGATTATTCAGAAACTAGATAGTTTTTATAATTTAGAACAGATTGTACTAAAATGTTACAGCCAGTGTTAAAAATTAGAATTAACCAAAGGCATAGGGAGTTGAGGGCAGTCTGCTAAAAATTTCTTTTAAATAAAATTTAAATAAAATTTATATGATCTACAAAACCAATGTGCTATTTCTCATAACACTAATGCTCAACATTTACTGTATTACCATCTCAACATTAGTTACAAATGTAAAAAACATTGTAAGTGGATAATTTTGATGGATTAAAATAATTCTTTAACTCAATCTTATAGAGATGACTAAAACAAATGTCTTCTAAATGTCTGTTGATGAAATCAAATTTATGAGAAGGGTGATCTTTTCAATGATCCAACTATCCTTAAATATTCCTTTTAGTTTTCAAGGAAGTAAATAAGAAAGCCAGGGTAAATTCAAGATTCAATACTAAGTCTGACCCATTTAGTTCTAAAATACATCTTGGTATTACAGGAAAAACTCTAATTAAATTGGAAGTCAAAAGAACTAGGATCCAGTCCTGGCTTTGCCACTAACTAAAACATTGACAGTTACTTTCTGGCTCTTATGCTTTAATAGGGATCTGAGATGGATTGTTCCTGATGGGTAAAAATCTGCACTTTTAATGATATGATTTGTAAACAAATTACAGAATACGGTAAATTAGAACAGACAAATAAACATGGCTTAGAAAAGAAAACAGAAGGACAACTACAAAAAGAAAGTGAAAACCACAAAAACTCAAAATAAGCCTATCATAAAGCAAGTGGCCTATATGACATGATATCCCTGACATGACTGATAGGTAAGATTAATGCTGAAGTGTTTTAATTGCTTCAGAGTTAATTAATGATGTAATCATAAGAAATGTCAAACTACTAAATACAGGAAAAGGTTTTAATCTTTCAACGAATTATACTCTGCTATACGCTTAAGCATTGTGGTAGGGACTTTATGTTCATTATTTTAATATGTTCTCAAAACAAATCTTCAGTAGTCGTTATCTTCTTTACCACACAACAACTAACTTACACTGAGTGTTTCCTATATACTAGGCTATATTCTGATGTTCAAAGTCCTCATACAATACTATGAGGTGAATATTATTCTCCCCCTTTCACTGACAAGAGGCAGAGAGAGGTTAAGGATTTGCCCAAGGTACAAGTTTTCAATTCAATTCAGGAAGTACAGCTCAAGAATTTATACTTTTAACCACACTACTATTGCCTCTCTAATATGTGGCTTATAGATGAAGAGACTGAGGCTCAAGAAAGGTTAAGTAACTTTCCCAAGGTCACAGAGTTAGATGGCAAGGCTAAAGTTTCAATTTTGTTCTCTGTGTCCCCAAAGGCTCTGGCTCCCTTATGAATTTTCTACAATCTGATTAACTTCTTTTATTGTATGCTGACTCTAAAAATGATCTGAAGTGACGTTCCTTTTCTTAATGTAACAAGTGACTTCTAGTGGGACTAGAGATAAAGCTAAATACTATAAATTCAAGTCCACTTTACCACTGACCTCACTAGATCAGTATCTTCCAAACTGTAAGTCTAAAACCAATTTAATGGGTTATGACTTGCCTTAAAAAAAGAAATAGAATACCAGTTTTTACAAAAAATTAAGTTATTATTTCATGTGTGTATATGTGTATATGAATATGCATTTGTATGCAACATGAAATAAAGTAGATTTCTCATTGTAAACAAGTATTTTGAAGTTACTACATTAAACAATTCATTAGTAATATTAAAACTCAGGTTGAAGTGACAGAAGAGTCTGTGTCTTAATAATACAAATTCTGAAAATAAATGAAAAAGTTTAAGAAGGCTATGAAGAGCAATCATATCAATAACAATACCAACAAAAATGACACCAGCCATCTTTATACTTTATCTCATTTAATACTTAAAAATCCTGTGACACAGGTATAATTTTATTATTATACAGATGAGAAAATAAACCTGACTGATTAAGTCATAAGGTCTTTCTCAAGCCCAGTGCCCTTCTAGGAGGAAACAAGCACTACTCTTCACTTTTCCAGGAATGAATTCTATTTTAGAATACAAATACACCACAATGGGGAGAAAGCAGAATGGACTGGTTTCTATAACCTTTTTAATCATGCCAAGCCTCCTGAATATGTGACTGCCTACCTAGTTAGAAACCCATCACAGAAATAAGAACAAGTTTCAAAACTGATATGGAAAATTTATTTCATGGAAGATCATGGAAGATAATACTTTAGTTCCAAGGATTTTTATGGCAACACAATTACTACTAGATTAGAAAAACTTAAACATACAATAATAAACTAACTGTATTCTAATATATATTTAATGCATTCTAAACATAATTTTAATGATCTTAGCTAGCCATTTTGAAAAGATATTGTAAAAATATTTAATGATAGAGAAATATATTAATAATGTAACAGGCAGAAAAAGTTTGATCCTATTTCATTGAAAACAAAACATTCCTCACCATTTCATCTGCTTGGTTTCTAGGTTTGGATGGGAAGAATTCAGATAGTGAATCTGGATAGTGGGGGGATGCAAAATTATCTAAATCTATTTGGTTGTTAGAATTAGGGATTCATGTGAAAATGTATCTCAAACAGTTTGGAGAGTGAGAGTTCAGAGAGAAACACAAACACAAAAATGTCCACATACCTCACTTGTGGCACAGAGAAACTGAAAAACCCTGCAAGGCCAGCAGATTCCCATCTCCCAGCACAGACTCACTCTCTGGCACAAGGTATGAGTGATATGGGGGTAGGTTCCTGTCTCTATTTCAATTTTGATTTCTCCTCTTTCTTAAACATTTTACCAGTTGAATTTACTTTAGTTAAACGTAGGTATGGTGAACCTCCACTTCATATGTCTGTATTTATACATTTACACCTTGTTTTAAATTTGCATAGAAGAAAATCTGGAAGGTTATACACCGTAATACTAATAATGGTTACCATCAAGTGGTGAGATTAGAAGAGATGTTAATTTTCTTAAATATGTTTAATTGTACTTTCCAAATGTTCTTATAATGAACATGTATTATTTCTATCATTAAAACTGAATTAGCAAACTGATACAAACAAATGCAAAACCTTTGTGTTGTGAGATAATAACATTCACATTTTAATTCTGACAGAAGTTCTGCTTTGTGAGTTCCTGGATTAAATAAAAAGAGTAAAGTCTAGTGTTACCTCCTGAGCTTTCTGTTGCAGACGGTCACGTTCTTCTTTTTCTTTGCCAACAAACCAGACTTCCCAGGGTGTCAGGCTGCCTTCTGGTAAGCCTGTCTGTTTCTCTTCTTGGTTATTTTCTGATTCAGCTCCACTATACAGAAGAGAAGACACTATAGTTCTTGTATTTGAAACCCTTTGCTTAACAATCAAAGTCACTTAGCTGTATAGTAAAGCAGAACTTATTAACTTAAAATACTGTGATTTTTATAAACATGTGAATTAATTATATATAAATATATGGTTGAAAAATTATGACTATTAAGTTTAATATTTGAATTAGTTTATCCATCAAACTACCTTTCAATTCCTTCATTGTCTAAAATTATATTATTAAAAACCCACTGGGGGGGAAAAAAAGGGATAACCCATATCCAGTCCATTTGCCTCAATGATAAAATTTCTTATTCTTAAAAATCTTGTATCTGGACAACTAATTACAACACATGATCCTAATCAGATCCTGGAGCATTTTCCATTTTCCTCCCTTAAAGAGTTCTGGAAAAAAAAAAAGAATGTATATATACAGAGAGAATGGTAAAGCAAATGCATTAATGACTACAGATTCTGGGTGCAGGGTGAACATAATTTCTTTAGGCTCTCAACTTTTCTGTAATTTTGAAATTGTTTTGAAATAAAAGCTACAAAAAATATATGGCCCTTGTATCCTTTAATGTTTTGATGACTCTTTTGCCAAATCTTAAAGTGTCCATGACACTCCAGTTTGGTTACCTCCTCCCAGTCCCCATCTCCACCATGCACCTCTCTGTCTCTTCTGGGCGCATGGAAAAGTAACTAGTCAAGCTCAAGAGAAGAGGGGAGAGGAAATACTGTACATACATACATAAGTAAAGAACACAGGGCCTTAGCTAGATATACTAGCCTTATAAAATTTAGAAAAACCTGAACCATCAGCACCCATAAAGGTTGTTCAGTTCCCAAGTCAGTGCTACAGTTATTATGGACTCAGCTCCTCTTTGTCTCTTTAATGAACATTCCTGCTTCAGGCAACCAATTGCCTTGCCCACTGCTATGCACAACTTTTTCTACCTTATAGCTTCAGTTTACTTGTTTAATCTGCTGCTGTTTCTTCACTCATCCATGCCCTCATGGAATTTGTATGCTGGTGGGAAAGAGACACTGTTGATGTGTTGTTTACTCCACACACATATCTTTCCTTTTTTGGTCTTGCAGAAGGACCTTATCTGCTCCCATAGTTTTAACTATCACTAGGTGCTGATAATGCTCAGATCAGTCATTACAGGCCAGATCTTTCTCCTGAGCTCCAGACTTTTATTTCCAACCATTGACAGAGTCACTTAAACAGCAAACCTAATCAGTCCAGAACAAGTCCAATCATCTTTACAACACACCCATTACCCTCCCCACCAGACAAAATTTTACTCCTTTTCTTATAATCCTACCTCTGTGAAGAGTACTGATACCCACCCAGTTGGCCAAGCCAGAAATCCAGATCTTTGACTCCCCCTGCTCCCTGTCCATATTTGGTCCCCCTTACCATCCACACCCATACAACCACCTAGTCACATCTATTCTACTTACTTCAATTTTCTCAAGCCATTCTCTTCTTCTCCAACCTTATAATCACTGACTGGATTACAACCTTCCTCCCTCCATTTCAAACCATTCTCCACAGTTGCCAGATTCATCTTTCAAATGTATCCTTCTATCATATCACTTCATATCTCAAAGTTCTGCAGTGGCTCCTTTGTCCACACATGAAGTCCAAACTCCACAGCCTGACACCATGAATTGGCTCTTGCGTATTTTCAAGCCTCTTCTTTCACCAGTGGCTGATCCAAACTCTTGTTAACTTAGGCAGACTGATGAATGTACCATGCCATTATGCTCTCCAGCTTTGCCTAAAACTCTAACTTCCTTTCCTCCACCTCACCCAGGGCCAAAACCAAGCTCACATTTTAGAGTAAAACACGGGGTGAATCTCTACCTGCCTCTTCCCAGCTATGCTGATTTTTTAACTCCTTTAAGTCTCTGTTTCTCTTCTGCAAAATGGAGCTAACAGCAGTGGCTGCCTCACAGGTACTACTGCGTGGATAATCCAAGCTACTAAAGCACTTAGTAGAGTTCTGGGCACTCAGTAAACACTTCATACATGTTATTTAGTAGCAGTGGTAGATGTATGGTTAATTCCTACTCTCCCTTCAAGATTCAACTCAGACACAAATCTTTACATGCCTCACAGTGAAACTGCAAAAAATCTGGATTTACATGCCTTGGGCTTAATGTCACTTGTCCATCTCTGCCATAGGCCACAAATTCCTTACAGAACAGAAAACATGTCTTAACTTGAATTTTTTATTTCAAGAGTCTAACTTAGGGCCTAGAATACAGTAAGCTCCTAAGAAATGATTGTTGAAAGAAAAAATCAGTGATGTTTTTTAAAAAATTGTACTTTAAATGTTAAATTTCTTGCCTTAACTTTATTAACAAATGTGTTCAGTATGTGTGGCATATACATTACAGCTTTATCCACACTCAGGAGAGGCTTCATAAGCAGTTGTTTATGACCAAGACATTTATTACAGCATGGGTTTCTTAAAAGAATATATAAAAACCAAAATAAAGCTGAATTAACAGCAGGCTGGAAGCATATTATAAAACTCCAGAAAAACACTTCTCATCTTATCTGAACTTAATTGTGAGCTTCATCTCAGTCCTGTCCAATACACTTGAAGGTCAATGCAGCCTCTAAATAAGGCTCTTTACACCTAAAACCTGGAGCTCATATCCATCGTGTGTAGCTAGTGCCTGAGTCTATCTCAGAAAAAACCTTGCCCTATTAGTTCTGCTGCAGTCCTTTCACTGTACCAGGGGAAGGATGGAATAAAGGCATAAAATCCTACACAGCTCTTGTACTACTCATTCATCCAGAGAAGATACTCATTGCCCAGAGCTGTGGCTGGAACAGACTGCCTGCTGTCCTCAGCACACCAACCCTAAACTGTCCAGGGCACTAACTAAAGATCAGAGGTAGGGAGGAGGAATGAGGAAATTTCTAAGCACTTCTTTCCTGAGAGGAAAGACCACGTTTTCTGAAGCAATGGAAAATAATCACTGCATCTATCTGTTCTCTAGGAAGTAGAAAATTTACTCAGCATACATCTGACACTTGCCACACACATGGCCTGACAAACTCCTGCATTCTTCCCAGACCATATTCTTCTTATTCCTTTGATTCATAGGGAATGAGCTGTGATAAGGAGAGCAGCATCAGCCCTGGGCTGCTACCAGCTCACTCAGGCTTTGGCTAAGGTGAGCTGTCACTGTGTCTGGCTCCTCTCCTGGTGAGCTCCACTAGGTCAGGGCTTTGGCTCTTGGCAGCTCCTGCGTGGTCTCAGCAGCTGAGCTGTAGTGTTGAAGGGTTCCTTAGGTTGCTAAACTGTATCTACACTGCTTAGTCCCGCTAATTAGGCTGACAAGGTATAAAATAATTAAAAATTATTTTACAGTCCTGAAGAAGTCCTACCAAGGCCCACATGAAAGTAGACTCCTGAAACCCTAATTCTACCATCACGTTCTACTAACAGGTGGATCAGAGAAGGCCTGTTTCTTGTTGCTACGACCAGTCTGGCAAGTGGGCTGCTTGGTTCCTCTTACTGATATCCATTCCCACCAACATACTTACCTTTACTTCTCATTCTTAAGAAGCTTGTGTGCATTCACTCACCCTGGGTCTGAATACCTTATACTGAAGGGGGCTGACTGGTCACACAGAAAACATGGATTCTCCGGTCTGTATTTCTCAGATCTCCTGTATTGTGCCTTACAGCTTAACAATCGGAAACCTATAAATGCTTTCTGAAGATGATGTAATGTGTCTACCCCAGAACAGACGCCCTTACTAAGCATGCCTCAGAAAAAACAGATATTCCTGCAAGAAACAGGCCCTTTGCTCCTATTTCTACACAGTACCCAGAGAAGAGAGTGTGATCAGTGTAACCTGGTCCTCAATCCAAGCTCTGCTAATAACTAGGTGTATGCCTTTGAAGCAGACTTGCTTGCACAGAGCCAGTTTTGTTATCTGTAAAATGAGTGGCCTGATCTAGGCTTTAATTCCATTAAAGTAGAGACCATGACTATCTTATTAATGGCTCCCAGTATCTAGACTAGTATATGGCACAAAGAGAATGTTTGCAGAGTGAATAATTATAGCAATAAACAAATTAAGATGGCTTTAATAACTTCTCTGGTTCTGACATTCTTTGACTCAATGACTGACTTCTACTGAGTGCTCAGATCAGACCAATGTTGTCTCTGGATTCTCAGGTTGACACTGCTAACCTCTGTGCTTCAGTTCCTTACTTCTGATGGAAAAAGTATACTGCTTACTATAACCTACTTCACTAGCAACCAGATTTTTTCAAAATAACTGCAGGTACTGCGATGGTGCAGCAAACCATATTTCGGTGTTAAGGGTTTGGACAAGGGCTCTGATGTCCACGATCTGACTTTTCAGTATTCACACAACTCATGAAATAGTGGCAAAATTTTGTGTTATTGACACTGTGCGTTTTCCTGGGGACTAAGATTATAGCAATCATCATTTACTCAGGAAAAAGGATTAAGAATCATAGAAAGTCTCGTGGTGTGTAAGAATTGGCCCAGGGCCCTTATAGGCAAAAAGGAGCAACACCTCTGGATGCAGGTGCTTACGCGGCCTTTGACGCGGAAGGATGTCGCCACTAGAAGGGTCTAAGGATTCTTTATAGGGCTGCACCGGTCTGCAGCCTCGGGTTTACCTGGAGCACCCCTGTAACTCCATTCCTCTCAAGCTTGCCACCTTGGCCTCTGAGTCATGAGCATCTGGGTCCACGTCGTCCTCATCTTCCCCCTCACCACCGTCGTCGTCAAAAGGGAAGCTCTGGTGGCCGAGAGGAGACAACAGCGACATTGTGGAATTGCTGTAGCTCGGCGGCGGCGACAACGAGCACATCGACACCGTCTCCAGCCCCTGCCCTCGGGCGCCCGCCATGAGGACCGAGGAGGATCGCGAGGAGGGCCGGGACCCGGACCTGCAGTCGAGGGAAAACCAGGGCTCCAGGGTTGGCAAAGCAGACGCCCACCGCCCCGCGGCCCGCATCGGGCCCGCCAAGATCAAACCGGCAGAACGGCGGCGGGGACGTGCTCTCCCAGCAGGCCCCGCGCGCTCCGGGCCCAGCCAATCCGGGCGGGCACAAGTCCCGCGTCGCCATGGCGACGCGTGGAGGCCGCTAGGGCTTTGTCTGCGCCAGCAGGATGTGGCTCCCTCTCCTTTGCTAACAGGCGAGGACCCGCTCCGGGCTGGCATCTTGGAGGGCCCGTCCCATGTTTGCTGTGGTGTAGCAGTTCACTTGGTATGAGAAATAATGCCACTGACTAAGGTAGATAATTTTAAAGGGAAAAAGGCAGATTCCCAAACTACCTCCACTACCATTACAAGGTTGTAACAATCAGCCGTGATTTCTTTCAGCACACCGCCCTATTTTATGGGGGAGGGGCTTGAAATTATTCAAGTTTACAAGTGTATCCAAGATTGCATTTTGGAGCTCACTGGTTTTCGTTGCACCCTTTTTGTTAAGACATCGTAAAGGAACTAGTTCATCTGTGCCAGTAAATTGTGGGGCCACTCTGAAGCCTCTAGTAGGCTCTGGCCTGTGCTGAGCACTGTAGACAGATGAATTAAAATAAAAGCCATGCCTGAGTTCATTATTTTGTGGTGAAAAATCATACCATTAAGGTATTTCGCGATGTGCGTTTCATGAGGAAAGAAATGAAAGCGCGCTCTCCTTTAGGAACTGGGAATAGGGATGAAAGTAGCTAGGGAGAGGTGGTAATAGAAGCTGCTGTGCTCATGCTGACGAAACTATGTGCACTTATAAATAAATACAACTTTTGTCCAGCTCATAATGCGTATTACTGGTACAAATATCACAAACTAATACTGGCTAAAACAGCACACGAAATTTGTTAGACCTGAAGAGTGATACAGAATATTTGATAACACTTAAATCTGCAAAATTAGACACAGAGATACGGTAGATTAAATAGCAACCAAGGGCAATTCAGAAGTCAGAACTATAATAAAATATGATATTAAAACCAAGTGGAATGTTAAATTTTTTTTGTTTCAGGAAAAACAAAATGAAAATGGGAGAATATGGAGCAATTTAAGTGATAAAATTGATGAAGGAATAAAACTGGCTTAATGGAGTTTTCACGCTCTACCCCAATTATTCATTATTGGCATATTTGATTTATTATGAGAACATTTCTAGACTCAATAACATCAAAAGGCTCTGGGCCACTTTAGGGGTTCATAGGGCGTAAACTTGAGAAGCTATTCCCAAACATATCTGACATAACTGAAGCATAATAAAAAAAAAACGAAAAACCGAAAAACTCTAGTTTTAGTATGAAAGGAACACAAGGTTCAATTAGTGTTTTTCCTCTTATTCACTAGGTTTCCTTAAACAAGCAGTTTGGCCTTTCCAAGTCCTAATTTACCCCCCTCTGTAAATAGGGTAATAATTTACCTCTCAGTGATGTTACCTCATTAATTCTCAAAGTTTCTAATACAGGACCTGACAAAGAGAACCCTAAGTTGTCATTTAAACTCTAAAACATTTTCACTTTAACTTCTTGATATGGAAATCTAAAATGTTACACACTTTTCTGCTCCCTTAAATGTTTTACTAAACAAATCTTTGATGCCTCAGAATCATGATTACCAACTATTGCACTATGCTCCAGCAGTCCTGGAGATACGTGCTGAGCCATCCAACACTAGCGCTGGTGCTTGGACATAATCAAGTCCTGTGGTCTCCTTTCTTCTAGTGCCTTGTCATTACTGGGACTGAGAAGCCATAATCATGTTCGGTAGAATTATATATAAATGTATAAATAAGCTCAAAAGAGGGCCTCTCCCCTCAAGTTTTAGGACATTAACTTAGTTAACTTCTTACTAATTTATTTTCACTTCCATGGTATATTTGAGATTGTTTTTTGCTGGCTTTATAACCTTAAATAAGAAGTACTTTTGCTTAGAAATCTCTTTCTGACTTTGTTACGAAAATAATGTCATTACCAGTTAGCCCTGTGTTAGTATTTTATGCAAGTTTCAAAAATTTATTCCTGGACATATTAAAACATTTACAGATGAACCAGCATGTTTTAGATTTGTTTCAACAATCCAAGGGACAGAGGAGATTACTGAAGGGGATGAAGATGAAACAGGATTTGCCATGTGCTGTTGACAATTGCCCAAGTTGGGTAAGGGGTACCAGGGTGAGGGCTGAAGGGAAAGGAGAAGGGGTAATTAGACTATTCTTTTTGTTAGGGGAAGTCTAACATATACTTAACTGAAGTTGAAAACAAATGAACAAATACAAGAAAACTGTGTCTCAAAAGGACCTAGGTGTCAGTTTGGTTTCTAATTTGCTGTGTGTGACTCAGGTATTCACTTAAATTTCTTTAAGCCCTCTATTTTTTCATCTGTAAAATGAGTGGTGATAATTGTGAACACTGTGCAATTGACTATGTTTGGTATGATACAGGTTTTTCAATCATTTGCTTTTAAATAACAGATCTAACTGATACTCTCTTAAATTTCACAATTTGTTTCCCGTATGGTTTAGACTTAATAAAAAATAAAACCTTCTTTCTACATTTCAGCAAAGTGTTCTTCCAACATTTCTTTGAATACTAGTCACTTAAAACATATCTTGCTTTTACTTACCTTAACACTAAGCAAATCATTAACATAACTAGTCAAAAAATTAAGGCAAAAAAAGTTTTAGTAATTAAAAATATTATGTACAATACTGTATTTCCTACCAAATATAAGGCAGTTTACCACATTTTAGATATCTGCTAATCTTTAAAGGGATGAATTAAAAGCTTTTAGTAACCTGAATTTTGAAGGAAAAAAAAAACTTTTAGCTAGATTCTTTTTACCAAGTTATGATTTAATATTTATCAGATGTGTAAATAAACAAACATGATAACAATTTTAAAAACCTGTGAAGTTGGCCTTACAAAATTACAGCACTGTAAATAAATCCCTCCCACATTTTATACAAACTACATGATTTTGATATACAAAGATTGTTTTTATTACACTGACAATGTACAACCAAGACTATTTACAATGCAAAAAAGTATATAAACCACAATTTAACATTCTGCTACTGGCAGCCACTATAGTTTAGGAGGTAGCTTTAATTAAAAGAAATGAACAGAAGCCACATTTCCCAACTTGTGTTTTAAAAATAATTTACATAAGATAAAAATTCATTATATGCACAGTATGTACAGTTTAATTATTAAACTGCAATCTAGCTTAATGTTTTTAGTATGTCCTGAATAACTAATATGGCAGTGAGTTTGCTATTGATTTAGCATATTGTTCAAAAAACCTATTGAACCTTTATATCTTTAAGACTCCACATGGTGACTTGGCAAAAGTCCATAGATGAAAATCAAGTAAACTGTTTTAATGTTTAAAGACATAGGTCTAAGCTTTATTGCTTTTAGTTTTCTTTTTTCCTAATGACATATTTGTCTTGTCTCACAAGAACACAGTATCTGAGCTGTTACTAGGCTCTTTTGTAAATCATAGTAAGGGGAATATGTATGGAAGCATCCATGTAACAGCCCAGGTTCAGTAGAATCCACCAAGAAATAAATTTAAGTGCTTTGTGTCATTATTACTCCCAATTTCTTCCAATAAATGCAATTATTTACCTCAGTTTACTTTCTGTATAATTCAAACAGTAAGTATGTAACATACCAACAAGAGTGGCAAATAATGGCAGAGTCAAAGATACTAGGAAGTGTTTATTAATGAGAATATTATACAGAGCCAGCAAACCCCTAAAATACTATTAAAATCCCATATTAGTTAGTAGTTCAGCCAATTCTACTAAACCCAAACAGCAATTAGCCCTTTTACTCTTTCTTAGTAGTGTGATCACAAAACAGGAAAAAATTATTTTGATTGCACCACAGCAATGTATAGTGACTCAAAACAAGTATTCAGCTATTCTTTTAAAATCTAACAGTTGTTAATATCGTTTTAAAAACATCTTCAGATTTTAGATTCACAAATCACTTAAACAAAATTTACGATTCTATCATGTCAAAGATGAGAACAGAAAATATGCAATCAGGTAATGCCTATTTAAACTATCACAGTTCTACCTGGGAGACAATCCCTTTTTTGGCCCTGCATTACGTTGTCCTGAGATTAATGATGAAACATTAGCAAATGATGTAAAATTAGCAAGACTTTTTCTTCCATTAGATAAAATCACATTTTAAAATATTCTTAAAAAAATATTAACAGCTGTTCTTTACCTTGCACTTAATTCAGAAACAGGTATAAACTTGCTCTTTGTGGATCAGGAAAACCTAACGTTGTATTGCTATGATATACATAAAATCTTTTTCAAGTTATAAATTTGTTTCCAACAGACCACACACTACTTAGACATTGCGTTTTTCACCAACTGATAGTTCAGGCACTTGTTCTCTGAAAATGTCTACTTTAAGAAATAAACTGTTACCTTCTCCTCCTCCTAAGTGACACCAGGCAGTGATCACAGAAGTGCTTCCCAGGTGAAAGGTCCGACTAGGTAGTGTTCATTCTATAAACACTGTGATTTTGGTTCATGGGCGAAACAGTTACAAACACATTAATTCAGTCTTTAACTCTTGGTAGATTGTAAGCATAGCGCACCAGAGGGAATCCTCGACTCTGATAGAAGCAGGCTCGTCCACAGGCCTGCACCTGATCAGAACTGTCCGAAACAAAGGAATCTTCTTCATCTGCATAATCAGAGTGGGCCGACTGTGTGCCACAGTCAGACCAATAGCTGTCTGGTCTTTGGCAAGAACCCACTGCCAACGCAGGACAGCTATGTGATTTTATCAAGTGTTTGCATGACACTGGCTTTGTTAAAAGAAATGATTCACAGCAGTCACACACAGTCAGGTTTCCCTGCAAATGTGAGTACATGCCACAGTCGTAGTAGAAATCCTGTTCCATGCAACCAGCTTGGCTGCTGACAGACACTGAAACCGATCCACTTTTCTTGGTAATATGTCGCTTCAGTAACTTCCAGTCTTCTTTAAACTTTGGGTTGAAAAAA